CCAATTTAGCTACTTTGTAGCTAGATTTAGCGACTTCCCCGCCCCTTTTGAGACTTTTTTCAAAAGTTTAGGGACAAATATAGCAACTTCTTGAACAAATCTTATCTAAGTTCTCATCTTGCCCACTGATCTACGTTCATCTTTATATAGATCAGTGAATTTGCCATTGTGATGTCATGTAGTGACATTTAGCTACCAGTTTTAGTTACTTTCAATTGAAAGCAGTTGGCAACACTGTTCCTGAGCCTTCAAAATGGTCTCTCAGTTTGGTTCACTAGGCTACACAATCATGGGGAAGACTGCTGATCTGACATTTGTCTGTGCATGTTTTTTTTACTCTCACAGATTTTGTTACCATTGCCATGCATTATACGACTGATAGACTGCAACAGTTGGACTTAAAAATCATAATTTGTGTTCTACTGAAGAAACAAAGCAGATAAACATCAAATTTTCATTTTTGGATGAACTATCCCTTTAATGCCCTCAAATATTAAAATTGACATTTGCTTCTCCATCTCAGTAATTCCATCTATTACATTTGTAAAGCAGTTCCTGACTGTCACAGTGACATTTCAGAGTACATTTTCTTTTTTGCTTGTTCACACGTCTACAGATCTGTGAAAAAGTATTTGCTCCCTATGATATATCTCTATTTGGAGGCTAACACAAGGAACTGTTTTGTAAAGCTTTCCAGATTTACATATCTCAACCTTTTACAGATATTAAAAATACATTGCAATAGCTGATTAAAGTTGCTTGTCACAAAAAAATGTAATTTCAAAACAGTCAATATTTAGTTTTGTCGAAAATAAATTAAAATTAAGCCAGTTTCGTGCAAATTTGTTGGTTACCGTGAATGTTATAATGGTCAGACTGCAGAGAAAACTGCTGCTAAAAATATCACCAATTGAAGTGGACAATCTGACCTGGTGCAAGGGTCATAAAAGAGCAAAAAAAGAAGACGGACAAAAGGACACAGATCCTTTAAAGCATGATCCTGAGATTGACTTCCTCCACATCTCTTCTTGATACAGACACTCACAATGATACAGTGAACGCTTATTTAAACTTATTACAGTGATCAAAGACTGGTTCGTTTTTCAGCTTTTTGGCACACACACAAACATACGAATAAACTTCAGCCTACGCAGTAAAAAGAAAATCCTTATTTCCACAAACAATTCAGCCTTCTTATAATTACTGTCAAATATATTAATTTATAACATAAAAGGTGGATTTATCACAGTTTGTCATGTTAGCTCCTTGATTAATGAACTTATGATAATCTGTTGTTCACAGGTGAATTTCTGTTATGTGGGACTTTCCAGTGACTTCTATTATTTTTATACTGTTTTTATATGATATTTTCGTCCCTTCACACTAAACCTAACACTCACATTAGTCTTTCTTAAATTTTACATTTTCAATTAATTATTAATCCTTCCGGTGTTCTTGTGCAGAAACTACGGGATTTACTCTGGTTTGACGACCCTTGTGACGACCCTTGTGACGACCCTTGGTCCCTCCAGCAAAGACAAACCCTGACACATACACGTCTTATCTGTGCCTGTTTGATAGTGAATATCTTCCATATGTTTCTCGGAGTTATTAACTGGTTTGTTTTCAGGTTCTGCTGTTAAGACTCCACAATTTTAAATCAGCCTTTTCTGCCCTCTAGTGAGGATATTGCACAACTACGTTTTAAATCGTAAAATCTGCCATCATTTACTCACCTGTCAGTCCAGTTCGTTTTCTTGGGAAGGCGAAAAAGTTCACGGTCGTCCTTAGGAGAAATCCATGTGATTTATGAACTATAACTATTCCAAAACTTCTAAAGCCATATGTGTGACGAACTGACTGAAATTTAGGTTGTGGTTAACTTAAAATCTTCAGAAATCTGACGCTGCCCTTTAATCTTACTCATGCCGTCGCATATTTAAATGTGGCGCGTGACAACGGACTCTGCATCAGAGTATGTTTACTAGGCCTAACTTACTGTAACGTATGCTAAAAGCAATGCGTCAAATGAGTAGAAAGTCCGAGTACACGGTACTTGAGAAGACAATACTGTATGGCCGCCTAATGCCCTTAAATCCATAGGCCGTAGAGTATTTCACGAGCGCCCCTCATGCGGCCACGACGTAATTTTTACCGTTAGCGCAGTGAAACCCGATTGTCTATGCGGCATTACGTCACCATAGTGTATTAGAGAAGGACAAAGTTGGCCATTTGGGACATGGCCTAACTGATGTTTCAATATTCCCTCGTTCCGACGTCATGAAGGATATAGCCAAGTTCTTTAAATGCAGTGTGAGGAGGTGAGAAATTATTGGTTGGCATTCGAGCAGCATATCCACCTTTTTCTTGCCGTAAAAATGAGCGCGGCCATTTGTAAATTCTGTGGGTCTAGCTTCCGGTCTCATCCGAGTCCAGCTATTATTAGCTGTACAAAACCGTTCGTTTTGCTGCTTGATATTGAAAATGGGCGTGTCTTACCATATTATTTTAATGTATTATCTTAATTATGAACACACTGGTTTGTAGTGCAAACAGTTTTACTGTTTACTGCACGTTGTTATTCTTCTTGTTATTTACCTATAGCGGCTAATGAACCGGAAGTCTCGCCCATATACTTCCGCATTGAACAAAACGGTGGATAGCCTAAATTACCAATATTTCATTATACTGTAGTAGACTTTCATCATTTTAAAAACTCTGAACATTCACAGTCTTTGATAGGGTAATTAAATATTTTTACATGAACATTTCTAAAATGTAACATATGAGTGATAAAATATGGTAAGCTATTGACTTGACAGTCTTGACAGAAAACAATATTTTATTAATATTAGTATCCACATATATTATCATTGACTTAGCTTGTTACGTAAAAAATATTTTTAATCTATTTTTATCTAACTTTATTTATTTACCATCACCAGTTCTCCAGACAAATTATTGGGTTTTAGAGAAGCAAATATAAAAAAGCAATATTTATTGCAATTCAGTCAGAAGATATCAAAGTTGAATTAAGTTGGAATGAATCTATTCTTGCCCTTATCTCTGTACAGTCACAATAACAGATTAAAACATTAAAATTACATTACAGTGACATCAGGTTTCATTCACCCAGTTCAATGTCCAGGATGGCTTTTGTGCTCAGTTTCCACAACCCTTATATTGTCCTTTATATTACAGGTCCATATCTTCCAGCAACACTAGGCCCTCTCACATTCACCTCAGAGCTAAACTCCAAAACACTGACACTTTTTTATTAATTGTCGTCATTTGTTGAGTGTATATTAATTTTTGATCACTACCTTTTCTGTATCCTTTCATTCTGTAGAAACACTGTGGCTTCCAAGGCCTTATAACAAATACATTAAATAAATTGTCTGTTAATTTCTCAGCGGTAATCCTGACCAAATACTCTCACAGTATCAAAGTGCAATAATGAACGTGTCCTGCACCAAATAACCAAGGAAAATAAAATAATAAAAATAAAGTCAGTGGTAACACTATATAATTGACTAGAATTTAAAATATTTTTTTTTATTTGAATTCTGGCCAAAGGTGATACCAGCCACCCAGCATTGGCCTAACAAATCTAATTTAGTTTTAAATTTGAGTTTAATCTGTGTCACTTTTTTCTATTGCAATAATACATGTCTGTTCATTCCCTCTCCCTCAGTGCTACATCCACAAGAAGGCAGGGTCCCTTAACACTCGAGCCAGGCGCTGGTTAAAAGGCTCGTAGAAGCTCTGCAGGATCTCCTTGGTTATCGGCAGCATTGGGCCAAGATTTCGATTGGCTGGTCGTCTGGTGTTGGAGGCGGGGCTCTTTGTGATGTCTGCTTCCTTCTGCAGAGTAAGAGGTCCTGTAGAGTCGATGAAACCCGGTCAGTAATATAACAGATACATATTTGCACATAATGACACATGTCTGAAGACTTCAGAGGTTAAACAAACAGACACACATTACTGTAACAAGTATGTGGAAGGATGAAAACTAACTCACCCAACTTTAGAAATTCAAAGACTCTCCGCATAGTGATTTTTCGGTTGGCAGCATGATCCTCAAGTCGTAGGATGAGTATCTGCTCTCTACTGTAAACACTCAGCCAGTCAAGCAGGTATATGACATATAGTCCCACCTGAAGCCTCACCTACAATAAAAACAATAGTTATTAAAGGAAAAAAAGAAACATGATTCTATATCTTCATCTTTATTTTACACTTTTTGTGATTTGATCATTTTAAGTTGTATTTTATAGAAATAAATTATTTAAAAATCATCTTTTTGCCCCTCTGGAAGCCCCAGTGGCCCTCGCCGATCCCCTGGTTAAGAAGTCTGCATTTAGAATAGAGTGGTGGAACTATGATGTCATTTTGTATGCAAAAACCCGGAAGCGAGTTAGCATTTTAGCACTTCCGGTTCCATCGTCCCAGAGTCAATGGGTTTTTTGAAT